GTGAAAGAGAATGCCATCTGAGCCTGGAGAATGCTCACTGCCGAGACCAGGTTCTGGAAGGCAGCCTCAGACAGTGCGGACCTCCACAGGGCCTTGGGGAGACTGCTGGGGCATTTGGCTGGGGCCTTGACCAACACTGCAGTGAGTCCTCCAGGAAAAACATAACTGGTCACACACTGTCAGGCAGGGCTGCCTTCTCCCTCTGCGGGCTGTCTGCAGATCTGCGGAACATCTAGTCCCCTCCACCGGTCCCAAAAAAAGCCTCTGCATGCACCTCACACTCAAGCCTAAGAGCACTGCAGGCTCTGCACAGAGGCTGCTGCCTCCACCTGGAATTCCAGCCCCATCTCCTGGAGAGTTCCTGGGGCTCATGCCTGCCCTTCTCCCAGGCTCGGCTTCTTCTTTTATCAAACAAGGAGGAAAAGACCTCCCTCTGCTAAGGGTGTGTGACAGGATGCGGGAAATTGCTCGCCCTGAGGTTGCGGTCGCTGTGGTTCCTGTCCCATCCCGCGGACTGTGATGCCCGTCCTGACCCTGACATCAAATGCAGTTCCGCTCTCCATAAAGCTGCCAGGGCATCCAGGGCCTCTTCCAGAGTCCATCTTCCCGCCTTCTGCACGAGATCCTTTGTGCAGCCTCCTGGACTGCCTGAAGTTCTCTGAGGCCAGTGGGCGGGTGCACCCTTATTCCCTCCATTTGCCCCAGCACCCAGCGTAGGCAGTGGTGCATCCCAGCAGGGATGTGAGAGCCAAGAACAAGGTGGCAGCCTACCCACCACTCAGCAAGGCCATCATTCTCAGATGTGGGCCTGTAATTTGTTCATGAATGAGATGGAAGTCTCAGAACTGTGACAAAGAATATGGGTGGTGGCGGGAAGGACCCACAATACAGGCCTGCCCACATCTGCTCAGAGAAGCAGCGACCATTGGGGCTGTTCAGCAGAAGAGGCAGGTGTGGTTCTGACTGCAGGCCTGAGGCCGGAAGCTGGACCTGTGATGAAATCTCCAAAAGGAGGTTTGCTGTCTCCCCATGGCCATGCTTACGCTTGGAAACGCAGTGTCCTCGATGCCAGGTTCCAGCAACCTGGCCCACTGTGGTGAAGAAAAGCACCTAAAACAGAGGTTTCCCAGGCCTGTTGCTGGGGTAAGCTCTAAATCCACAGAAATGGGCCTTCATAGATAGGCCCAAAGTGGGACTTCAGGCCCGTACTGAATCTGGCTAACACTTGGATGCAGGCGTCATCACTTGTGTGGAGAGGCCTAGCTTAAGTACTCATTCTGGTGCTGGGAATGGGCTTGGCACCCCAAGAAATGTCCCCTTGTCTCCCAACACCTCTCTCCTTTATTTACATATTGGAAGAACTAATCTTCTGCAAAAACAGAGCGCTTAAACGCTCTTGAAGAGCCCATGTGTCCACCCAGCGCATGGCGGGTGACACCGTGACGTGTGTTCAGCTGTACGGGGCCGGCGAGGGCTGAGGCGGAGTCTAGGCTTGTGCGGTTCTGCCCTGCGGTGCAGCTAACAGGGCCTCCCTCTCGACTTTCCTCCTGCACAATGTCCACTCTTCTGCTGCCTGGCTCTCTTTGTTCTTGCTCCAATACATTTGAAGTTGAACATTCACGAGTCTAGCCTCAGTCGCCTGATAGTTAGATCTTTTTCTCCGTTGGGCCGGGAGGAAGCTGCTAATCAGAGGACTGTATCAAGACGCCTTCCCTCCCACTCCACAGGCTTCCGGGATGGAATGAAGAAATTTATATTCATCGATCTTGAGAAAGTTGATTGTTAAAAAGCAACAAAAGTTTGTACATTAGGGCAACAGTATAGCTCCCAAGTTTCTGTCTCAGCTTCAGTGATAGCCATAATGGACAGACAAAAGATAAAATATTTTTGTTTTTTAATCTTGTCTGTGTGTTTCCCCTGTAAGTTTTGTTGGTATCTACTCCTGACATCCATCCACAAACTCCTTCCACGTGGATCTGTGAGCAGGCCCAGAGTCAAGGGCTCTCAGCACATGTTCTGGCTTGGGTACATGCTAGCCTGTTCTGCAGAAAGTCACTGGAGTCATCAAGATCCCAATTTTCCATCTGTAGCACAATACCTACCTGGCAGGGGAGCGTGAAGATTCAATGAGTTCACATAGTCCAGGGGCCGGAAGAGAGAGGGGAGATACAAGAACAAGGGGTCCCGAGAGAGCCGTAGGCTCAAATCTTGGCTCTGCCTGTCTCTCCAAAACCTCGGTCCCCCGGAGAGTCCCAGAACAGCTGAGTCCACTCCTGGCTCCTATCCGGTACTCTCCTCTTATTCTTGCTCTAGACCCAGGGAGGGAACGCTGGTGTCCAACTTACTTGGGTGGTGTTTTCTGGGTGCCTTTGAGTAAATCACTCAAGTGGACCACGTTAAAAGATACTCCATTTGGGATGGGTATATTAGTGTAACAGTCAAGACATCAGGTTGAAACAAAAGTTAAAATGTTCAGGATGCAAATTTTCAAAAGGTCATTTTATAGACAATGAATATGTGATAACATCATACGTCCAAAGGCTGCCAATCAGAAAGGTATTTGGGAATTATTTGATATAATTTTATGAATTCGGTAATCTACTATTTTATTTCAGATGGAGTCTCGCTCTGTCATCCAGGTTGGAGTCCAGTGGTGAGCGAGATCTTGGCTCACTGCAACCTTGACCTCCCAGGTTCAAATGATTCTCCTGCCTCAGCCTCCTGACTAGCTGGGATTACAGCTGCCTGACACTATGCCCAGCTAATTTTTAAAATTTTGAATATAGACAGGGTTTCACCACATTGGCCAGGCTGGTCTCAAACTCCTGACCTCAGGTGATCTGCCTGCCTCAGCCTCCCAAAGTGCTGGGATTATAAGTGTGAGCCACCATGTCCGGCCTGAATTCTGTAATATATTATTAAAAACTGTATGAAAATGAGATTGTATATGCACAGATATTAATCTTAAAAGAAACCCAAACTAAATAAAGAATGCTGTCTTTTAATTGAAAATTCACAAATGACCTTGAACACCAAACAGAAACTTACTATATCTGAGAAAAACGAGAGAAAAATGTGATGGACAACTGGATATATACAATCACTATTTCATAACCCCAGGAATGCCTGTTGTAGCCACTAACAGAGGGATCCCAACTTCACAACACTATCCAGTACCGGCAGATTTCAGGGAGGAACCCACACTCTCCGCCCCTCCGCAGTGCTGGGCAGAGCAGATGCTGTGTATTACCTGAGTAGCTAAGGCAGAGAAGTTCACACTTCTGCAAATCCTCACTCCTGGTTCTACTGGGTCCCATGTCACCCACCAGTGTCTCCAGGAAGGCCCATCAGCAAGTCTCGGGGAACCGTTTGCCCTCAAGGCTAAGGAGGTGTGCCCCCTTGCCATCCTCCTAATTTTGTGTACAACTGCATTTGAAATCAGACCTTGCAATTTTTTTTTTTTTTAAGATTGGAAGTCAATAAAAAAATTTGTTGGGACAAACCCACATGTATACAAAAATAAATAAAAATCCCAATTTGATAAGGACACGGGGGAAGAGAAATGATATGCAACCTAAGTTGAAAAACATTTAAAAAACAGTGAAACGAGTACACTAATACCCTTTAAGGTACAACAAAAATGATACTGAATATGACTGTTTCTTAGATTCTATTCTTTTCTTTCATTTGCTATTTCTCGAGTGCTTTGAAAGAAGATACCAATGAGGCCAGGCTCCAGTGGCATCTTAACAAACAATTTCCCCTTGGGAAATGAAAAAAAGAATTATGATTAAAAAATGGCTCTTTAACAAGCCACAGTGAAACTGTAGATTTGTTTTCCCGACTTTTTCTTCTTCTTTTTTTTCTTTCCTGGCTGAGGGCAGGGCTTTCAGCAGCAAGACAGGAGTAATTGTGAAAGAAAGAAAAAGACGATGGTGATATAAATCAGCAAAGGTTAATGACCAGGATGTGAAAAGAGGGACTTGTTTACAGAAATAACGTGCAATTTAAAATTTACAAGAGATTTAATGCCACTGCTTGGCAATCGCTAAAATCAACAGCCCAGAAAACAGTGACATTAAGAAAAATATTACAGTTATAATAATCCCCAAATAAGTCAATTAGTGTTAGGGCACGAGCTCGCGATTACTTGACCCATTTGGCTTGCACTTAAGTGAAAAAAAATTTCCCCCTATTATACCAAGATCGCTGGATTGTGACCTGCTTTGCATCACACGTACCATACCCCCGCCTCTCTCATGTGTGCTCGGGCTGATGGTGGTGGTTTTCCTTTGCCTGGCATCAAAATAATTCTGACCCTTGACATTTGTAATCATACAAAAAAAAAGGCAATTTATAATTGTGTTGTTCAAATGAAGGTGGGGGAAAAATTCAATCTGCTATTATACAAAAGCAATGACGGCTGTCTCGGTGAAAACAGCAACGCAAGTCAATTTGTGAACTTTGGCACCAGACGACCTTTAGAAACACAACAAAATACTGAATTTACAAGCAATAGCAGCCCATGCAAATGGCCCGGGCCTGCTTGCCTGTGGATTAGAGCTGCAGAGAGCATTATGGAGAATGCTTCCACAAAACAAATTAAGACTGTTACTTAAATGTCACGGCACACTATTGTATTTGGCTACAGATCATTACACCTGATACTAACACTTTTGAAAACTGTAATAACTTGGGAAATATTACACTGAGTGCCCACATGTATAAAGGAAAAGAAAAAAGAGGAGAAAATAGGTTTCTGAAATAATTTAAACATCACTACGACTGAAGGGAAAGGTCAAAATTTAAGTAAGCTGAAAGGAACATGAATGGTAAAATAAAACACACACACAAAAAGATGGGAGGACCACAGGAATGACTCTGCAAACACAATAAGGGAGCATGCGGCACGGGGCAAACTGCATTTCCATGCCTGTTGGAAAGGAAGGGGCGGGCAGGGGTGAGGCGGGAAGAGGCGGGTGGAGACGTGGAGGCATTACCTTCGGTGTTGGTGCTGCTGCTGTATATATTTCGCAGGCTACCAACACGGTTTAGTTTCCATGCTTTGCGTTTGGCTGCATCCCGAGAGCAGAAAGGGGAGAGGGGAAAAAGAGAAAACAAAAATGAAAAGAAAACAAATGAAAAGGGGAGAAAAAAAAAGGTCAAAGTAGCACGTGATGTTGCCAACAAGCTGTCTGCGCGAAGCGGGTGGGGGCCATGGCGCTCCCTGGCCCGAGCCCTCCAAATCCCACAAGGTGGACACAGAGGAACTCAGGAAGGGCAGAGGTGTCCCAGGGCCATCAGGTCTGCATCTAACTGTCAAAGAAGCTCCCATGCACAGAAGTCCATGTCGCCCTTGTTGGATACCATGAGTTCGAAGTTTCTCTTCAAAGAATCAGTATGTTAGTATGTTCAGTTCTTTGTCCTCCATTTTAAAGTTTAACTTCCTTGTGGTTTTAGAAGGTAAACAACCTTTTCTGCCAGTTCTAATCAGTAGTTCACGTCTGTTCCCCTGGTCATCTGCTCTTCCTGATTCACCCTGATCACCTGCTTCGACCTGAGACACCCCCAGTCACCTGCTTTGACCTGAGTCATTGTTAGTTACCCGTTCCATAGCTGTTTTTCCCGCCAAACCGCTCACCCTGCCACTCTGCCTCATACCCCTGCTCTTTAAAATAGCCAATCAGAATTAGCTTAGACTGTGTGGTCCAACCCTAGTCAATAGGGCCCAACACAGCAGTAGGGACTATCTGCATCAGCAATAAGAACCCCCTTCCCTTCCTGGGTTCAGGTGTGCACTCACCATTGCTCCATCTGTGAGATGCACCCTTCTATAGAAGTAAACTGCCTTGCTGAGAAAATGTATATTCAAGTGCTACTTCTTTTGCGGCACCAAAAATTTTACATATAACACCCTGCTTGGTTTCACACGTGGCTATTCAAAACAGCACAAAAATTGGCCTTTGTCTTGAGAAATGATGACACCCTCTGAAACAGCTATGATGCCAGTCACCATAAGCCCTTTGATTTGGCTAAATATTAGGACCATGTCAAATCAAGAGACCCTGATTATTTATGCCTATGTGTTGCAAAACGTAGGTTTTTAAAACCAAGAGCTGTTAAAAGTGGAAGCTGTTTTCACCAGACAGATTTTGATCCAGGCAATGCCTATAGCAGCAAAACCCTAGTGCCATTTTGCTGTCTTGAAAGTCGGAGTCCATTCTCTTTGACACTTAGGAGAGTTGCCAGCTCTCAATGGAGCTCCTAGGAACCAGGAGAGCAAATACCTCCTCAAGTTCTCAGGAAAAAGGACAAAACGCCAAGTCACCCACAGTGGGATGCTGGGTTCAAAAGAGAACCAAGAGGGTGCAGCAGGCCCAGCATTCAGGCTGTGTGCAGTGCCTGGCTGGGTCACTGAGATGGGACCCCAACCCTCCAGGGACATGTTCTCCACCCCACCAGGCCCCCACCGTCCCAAACATCAACTCAGAAATGCTGACATCTGTGGTAGGGAAGACACCGACTTCAGACGTTCTCTCTGCCCTTCGGGAGATATTTTATAAAAACCCAAGAGTTAAATAGGGTGGCTCAGGTCTTCAGGCAAACCCAGGGAAAGGCATAGCCCCAGATCACAGGGCTGGAGTGCTTGGCCAGCTGTGCAGGCAGGCACGCCGGAATGTTTAGTGGTGGTCACAGTCATTCACCTTCTGAAGAAGGGGTCTCACAGGACCATCTGTCTCTCTCAACTTCTACAGGCAGGAAGAGAAACCAGTCCAAGCTGTTTGTTTAATGCAGGTAAGCAGCGCTTATCCGGGACAGACGGGCCTTTCCATTTCCACAGGCAGGTCTTAAGCCTGCAAGGCAGGCAGCCAGGCTGGCCCTCTGGTTCCCAAGGTATGGTGCGGACAATGGCCAGCTCCCTAATCTACCCCGGCGCACTCCTGACTGATGATGGGTTAACTCTTCTTGCCTGCTGTAGTGTTTGCGCCCAAATCCTCCATTTCAAACAGCACAGTTTAGGCCATGGGTGTAGGTTGTGTGTGTGCATGAAGTTCTGGTGGCCAGAAAATGACCCAGGGTGATGACTAGGTCCCTGCGATGAGTTTATTGTGGAAATGCATCTCAAGTGCTTCTAAGCACACTGGATTTTGTTTTAGGACAGCACAAAACATATGCGAGAAACCTGAACCTTTAAGGAAGCAACCATAACTCTGTAATAAAGCACTGTATACTCAAGATGCAAATTTTGTATTAGTCACGAGAAAAAACTTGCTGTGATTTAGCTGTCTCTTGATTTAAGGTGATATTAAGTTGTTATAACTAAACACATCTAACAATTCCTTTGCAGAAATCAACAAACAGGCCAGGTGCTCACTCCCGTAATCCAGGACTTTGGGAGGCTGAGGTGGGCAGATCACTTGAGGCCAGGAGTTTGAGACCAGCCTGGCCAACATGGCAAAACCCCATGTCTACTAAAAATACAAATAGTAGCTGGAAATGGTGGTGTACGCCTATAATCCCAGCTACTCGGGAGGCAGAGTTTGCAGTGAAATGAGATTGCACCACTAGGCGACAGTGATCACACACTAGGGTCTGTTGGGGGGGGACAAGGGAGGGATAGTAGGGGAATGGGGAGGTCAGGGAGGGATAACATGGGGAGAAATGCCAGATGTAGGTGACGGGGGAATGGAGGCAGCAAACCACATTGCCATGTGTGTACCTATTCAACAATCCTGCATGATCTGCACATGTACCCCAGAACTTAAAGTACAACAACAAAAAAAAAGAAAAAAAAGCAACAAATAATTTAGTAAGAAACTACCCCTAAAGTAGCAGGCATCTGCAGTTTTGCAAGATATGAGTCTACACTGAATTTTTCTCAGGTGAAGTCTTCCTCATGTCTATATCTTCAGGTTTCCTCACTATCTACAAGGTCCTACTTAAGTATCTGTCTAAGGTAACCTCAAACCCGGGAAAAGGATCTTCAGGTACCCATTCTTACAAATATCATGCATGAGGAACAAAGGAAACCAAACCCATCACAGTTCTCAAATGTGAAATTTAGAAATGCTTGATGGATATGTACCAGGGGCCCCAGGCATAATGATGCAGAATTAAGCACGGCCTTCATCTTTTTTTTTTTGGCAGAGTTTTGCTCTTGTTGCCCAGGCTGGAGTGCAATGGCATGATTTTGGCTTGGTGTAATCTCCGCCTCCCGGGTTGAAACAATTCTCCCACCTCAGCCTCCCGAGTATCTGGGATCACAGGCGTGCGCCACCACACCCGGTTAATTTTGTATTTTTAGTAGAGATGGGGTTTCTCTCCATGTTGGTCAGGCCGGTCTCAAACTCCCGACCTCCTGTGATCCGCCCACCTCGGCCTCCCAAAGTGCTGGGATTACAGGCGTGAGCCACACTGCCCTCGGCTGGGCATGGGCTTAACTTTTAAGTGCTGCAGCTCTGGTGTCTGGGACCGTATTTCACAAGTTCCAGAAAGAAGTTGGCATGAGGGGGCTGCACTCCTCAGAGTACAGCTTACCCCTTTCTGCAACATTTACATATAAATAGGCAGAACGGAGGCTGTGCACCCCTCGGAAGGGAGGGAGGGATGGCTGGCGGGGTGCAGGAAGCCTCTTTTCTCGCCCGCTTTATGCCTTGCATTTTTCACACTCTGCTCTCCCATTACCATAGGATATATAAGCAGGAAGTGAACTCACAGCCTGGCTTTCTATTAACCTATTGATGAAATAATCCATTTTAATGTGTAAAATGTCATGCCTTTTTCTTCCTTTTAAACAAATGGATGCTTTCTGGCTGATACCAAGGTCCTGATATGTGCATCGGTCTCCCGGGGCATTGATTGCTCTAAGTTCCCTTGTTTAGAAGCTTCTCAGTGAGAAAATACAATCCTATTATCATCAATAACACTTCGGGTTATGTCGGATGCTGCTGCCTGATTTGCTTCCAGGGGATATGGAGACACTGTGCCACATGGAACCCAGAGGCTCCGACCTGATGCTGGGTGCCACGTGGCCACTGATCAGTACTGCCCACCACTGGCAGCCTCCCTCTGGTCTCAGGCCTTTGGAATAAAAGGTGGTTCTCAGAGACCTCAGGGGCACTAGCTCAAAAGACTAAACTTTCTGAGTCATCTTTATTTTAATTAAAACTTTTAGCAAAATTCCTGTTTTACTTTCAGGAATATAGTATCTTCCTCTTAAACACAGGCTAACTTATTTCCTGTCACTAATGTTATTTCTCACAAAAGCTATTATTTAGCTATCAAAATTTCACCTGTTATTGAATAAAATGGCAGCAGGGTGTGAGCCCTCCGTTAGTGTTTTCCATTCTGCTCTTGCCTCTGCGTAAGCAAAACTCTCTTTCACAAACAGTTTCACAATGCCTACCATAGCTATTTAAACGACAGGATGTCTCAGCACTGTCTTAAATGTTTAAAAACACACATGCAAATCTCAATGGACATGAAATTCCACAAGCATAATTTCAGATGTGGTACAACCTAATTGTCAGCTCCGGTGCAGACAGTGAGATTGATCTCTTCTCACTTGACCCTGCAAATTAAATGGAACTTTCTGAGCTCTAATCTGGGCAGGCAGAATAGTCAGTGGGCCTGGGGAGAGGAAGGCACTCGGGGGAGGACAGCACTGTCCCCGCAATGGTGCCAAAACGTGAACCGTGAACTCAGGTTAAACACAAGAGTGCTACATGTGGGTTTCACAGCAAGAGGTAATACAAGGGAATCGCCACCGACCGCTGGGAATTTAAAACGCACGGAAAATCATCCTCCTCCTGGCTGGAATGTATTTTCTAAGGATTAAAAGGATCAAAACTTTGAGAAACTCAGGATAAGACAATGCAGAGAGACTCACTCTCAAACTCTAAGACAAAATGTTTACCCTTATGTAACACAACAATGGTATTAATTTCCTTAAAAAACACACAGCGCCCCTCATTGAGGAAACTGAATTTATAAGGCAGTCTTTGAATTACAAAGAGAGGTCATTGTGGCACCTTCTGGTACCACAACGGTAACGTGGACAAAGTGTGCTAAAGTC